TTTGAGGTGACTATGTCTCATATTTAGAAAATTATTAAGGTAAAATAAGGTTACCCCAGGGCCATCAAGAGCTTAAGTGAAAATTTTGATTTTTTAGATATATCCGATCATTTTCTACATCTTATTGGAGGTATAATGATTAAACAGAACTATATGCAACATCTTGAGCTAATTTGAGATGCATATATTACATATCTGGGAAATTATTAGGGTAAAATATGGTTACCCCTGGCCCTTTAGAACCGAAAATGAAAATTTGATTTTTTTTTAATTTCCAATAATTTTTTTACATTTAATTAGGAATAATATGACAAAACAATACTTAATGCAACAATTAGAATTCATATGAGGCCCAAACATTGCGTATCTTAAAAATTATTAAGGTAAAATAAGGTCACCCCTAGGCCGCAAGGGCTTAAATATCCATATTTCGATAATTTATTTCTCAAAAATTACATGAGCTACACAAGCCATATATCATATGAGTGATTAACACCTATATCTCTATTAGTATGAATTTTTTCAGGATGATCAGACATCACATTCTTGAAATACAGTACTTGATGTCCCATATTTGACCCTTTGAAAGGTGAATTCACGCTAGATAATTGGGTTAAAATGTATTTTCCTACCTAAACACCACTTCTAAAATAGGTTTTTCTCAATTTCAAGGCTCAAAGCAATCACCAAATGAAGTCATTTAAAGAAATATTCTTTACAACTATTTTTATTTATTTTATTATAATGTACCCCCTCCCCGCCTGATAGGGGTGGGGGTCAGAGGCTTACAATCCATGAAGACCACCCCGAATCACTTGCCCCGAAATCATTTTTCATTCAGATCATATGTTTCTACAACTGTGCCAAGTTTGTTGCTTTCCTGAAAAAGTCGAACTACCAAAGGGACATCTGACTGCGCTAATAGGAGACCGAGCCACCACACACTCTGTATGGCTCGCTTGCGACACTTTGATATGCCTTGGTGACCTTCGTGAAGGTGACCAAGTATGTCCTGTCTCATAGAACTTGGTATAACAATTCTTGATCCACGCATTAAGATATCATTTTGAACTGTGAGTTCTTCATGAATTGTCCAATAAGCTTTCAATGCTGAAGGTAAATGATTTTTCTCGGGCCAACCATGCATGACATATTCTAAAATTTGTGAACACAATGGATCTAGAGATTGTTCCCTTTTAATATCTAACAAGCGGTTTTCAGTGACAGGTAAATCCATTACTCCGGCTATCATTGCATAACACTCACTTGAAAGATCTTTATCAGATTTCTCACCGGCACCTGGAAGGGGTGCTCTACTCAACGTGTCGGCTAAAACTAGATTCTTGCCTGGAACGTGTGAAATGATATATCGATATCTGAATAAACTTAGATGGAAACGTTGTATACGAGCTGGAAGTTCATTCACGCTCTTAGTTCCGAGAAGACTAACTAAAGGCTAATATGATCAGTTTCGATATGAAAGGACCTTATACACCCTCCATTGGGATCTCCCCATGAGAAAAAAATAATTCATCTGATTTTTCAAAATAAAAATACTGCTTTTATTATTACATTTATATGTACACTAGTATCTTTTTGACCTATATTCAGCACTGTATTGATGAATGGGCCACTTATTAGGGCCAATATTCAATCATACAGGGTGTTCCAAAAATAACAGGACTGGTGCTGGCATTTTGTCAATTCTGCACCAAGTGTCTTCAAATTTTCACAAATTGTACTTTGAAGTATTGTTAGTAAAATTGTAAAGTTTCAGAAAAAATGATAATATGTGGGTAGAGTTATGGTTACTATAGTAACATGACATCACAATACCCGGGGCAACTTTTTCATGAAAATGTGATATCTAACATTTTTGTGTTACTGAAGAAAGTATCTAATTCACCTATTATAATACAACATTTCTTGTTTGTTTTATTATTTGCTTTGTTGTAATGGTATTGCTATACAACTAAGATTCAAGTATGATTATATAATGATATAATATTCATTCAATTTCCTGGGATATCAGTCTGTATAACGGTCTGCACAATTCACGGTTGAGTTCTTGAAAAGTCATCCACTTTGATGACATGTCTCCCAGCAAGTCAGCTTTAAAGACCACTGCAGCTATAGAGGAGCTAGGTCTTGAGGTGACCATGCACCATACTCTTCTGATCATGCAATATCTAACTTTTCACTTATATGGAGAATGGAATGCTATTCGGCGTGGTAAGACCTTTAAAGATAAGAATGACCTTCTCCAAGTTGTCTAATCGACCCTGAGTGACATGTCTTCAAATGGGTTCACTCATGTATTTGAGACATGGATACAGAGTGCTACAGACCAAAGAGGAGCCTACTTTTCAAAGTAGAGAATACATAAGAATATCAAATTATATAAAGCAAATGTAATTCCCACCAGTTGTTGCATTTCAACTTTGATATGGGATGTACAAAACATTAAAAGTCTCTGTAAGAGTCTCCGTAACTTTCTGAGTGGAATGTTGCCCCGGGTATTGTGATGTCATGTTACCATAGCAACCATAACTCTACCTGAGTTTCATAATTTTTGTCGAAACTTTGGAATCCTAGTTACAATACATGAAAGTACATCATGTAAAATTTTGAAGACGATTGGTGCATATTTAACAAAATACCAGCACCAGTCCTGTTACTTTTGGAACACCCTGTAAAGTGTACAGGGGTCCAGATGCCAAACCAGGAAGTGTTTTTGTGTCTGTCAAAATCCATTTGCATCCTACACATCCCTACATCTTATCCAAATATGTTATTACATAATGAAACATAACAGTATAATCTTTGGATTTACAAAGTTGTATGGGATTTCATAAGTGTAAAAGTTCCTTTTGAAGCATTTTCCTATAGCCATTTTGTAGGAAAAAAATGATGAAAAAAATGTCTAAGCCTTTAATTTGAAGTATGACCTGAATCGATTGCAAACTTTATATTTGCACATCTGATGTGATATACCATTTGTGTCATATTGTGAAATTATTTAATTTGCAATCGATTCAGGTCATAGTGTATTTTAGGTATTTTTGTGAAAATCAATAGAAACCAATGGCCTCCACTGGAATCTGATGATATCCACATGTTAAGTCAATGGAGCACATCCAATGGCAAGTCAATACACCCTTGCTGAACTTAATGACCTCAACCTCAGCCCATGTGGGTCCAAACGCTTAAATATTTTCCACAGTATTATGTGACATTGTATTCTTTATGTTACACCTAAAATGATTCATTTTGTTCATGGGGAGATCATAATGGCGGGTGCACTAGATCCTTTAATTCCGACCACTGATAGTCTGAGAACTTATCACATCCCCATGTTACTCCTACGCTTCTTTGTCTATTTGAGGATATCTCCTCTCTTCACTTCTGAGAGAACTCGATGCATAAGATACAGGTTTCCAGTCGCATTGGGAATTTTCGCGCTGGTAAATCGCTGCGCCCAGACCATGCTTTGAGACATCTGCACTTACTGTAGTTTCATGATTTGGATCATAATGTTTCAACACAGTATTTGAGCAGAGTTCCTTTTTGATACTATCGAATGCATTTTGCTGAGAATCCCATGTAAACACGTAGTCAGAGGAAGTCAAATCTCGCAGTGGTTTCGAAAGTTTGGCTAAGTTAGACGTAAACTTACCTGAATGATGAACCATGCCATAAAAATCTATGTACGTCTGTAGGTGCACTCATTTCTGATATTGCGCAAACTTTTTCAGGATCAGGAGAGACACCTTTTTCTGAGACTAGAGTCCCAAGGAATTTTACACTCTTTTTAATAGTCCATTTAGGTAACTGTATCTAATAGGAAGAGCAAATTCGATTTGCAGTGAACAGAAGGACAAAGTATAAGAAACGTCAAATGATAAATTAGCATTAGAAAGATGCGGTTACCCTAAATGGACTATGTTATGGTTATGTTGTGGGAGGTTTTGGATATGGGGTATATCCTGAGGGAAATATAGATATCTTATTGAGGGACCGAGGTAAGATATAATATTTCCCGAAAGATATACCCCATATTCAAAACTGAGTATCACATAACTTATTTGACGAGTGAAGTTGAAGTTGACAGTTTTGCCATAGCGAAATATTTTAACAAATTGACCGTTTCTACACTGAACAAAAACATTTTCCATGGAATGTTGGAGCGCAAGATATATAAATGGCCTGCTCCTCCAAGATATCAATAGACTATATCACGCTGTTATGTACCTGAAACCTCACTTGACATAAATAAATATAACTTAACTTGACCATTTACTTAAAGGGGCAACAAGGCCTGTAGAGAGAAATTTAGGAACATTTTAACTTTTTCTGAGCTATCAAGGCAACGTCATTTGGCTTGACATCCTCTTTGACATACCTATTTTCTTAAAATGTATGGATAGACTATCAAGTTCAGCATTAAAAAGTGTAAATTCAGTTCAAAGTTTCAAAAAGGGGAAATCCACTTTTGTATTTTTAAGATCCCCCATTTTTCAAGAGGAATATCAGCTGAAATAATGTTTAATGTTTATCTAGGGGGTTTCTTTGCAGATAATAAAAATAGATGTTAGTCTTGATGAAATATCCAAACTTAAATATACATATGTATATAATATATGTATTTTGAAGCTGGTCCATGATCGTTGAATGGCCCCTCTGCACTAATTGTTGCACCTTTAAATAACTAACAATATAAATATTTTCACAACATGAATTCGGTAAACCCTTTTGCAAACACAGTTGACTGAACAAACACACTAGCATGAATATAAGGAGCGTCATTACTGTACTTCATAAGTTGGCCAAATACTAAAAGCATTTTAGCATTTAAAAACAAAATGTTGCTAGTACTGGGGGTAATGCTAGTACAGTTTATGGGTGTCACCACTCAAGAGGAGTCACTCATTACTATCCCAGCTGGACCAATTAGAGGCACTTTGAACTCGCTTGAAGTATTTAAATATATACCGCAACTCCAAGGCAAAGATCTACAGTTCAGGATGTTTCTCGGAATCCCATATGCCGATCCTCCCATTGGGGATCTGAGATTCCGACCTCCACGAGCATTGACGACAACATGGAATGAGACACAGAATGCGACAGAGTATGGCAAAGTCTGTATTCAGGATCCTACAACATATCAGACACAAGGGGGCTCTGTTGACAACATGTCAGAGGACTGTTTGACCTTGAACATATGGGCACCTGGTAATGGGTCAAACTCTCAACCAAAGGCTGTAATGGTTTGGATACATGGGGGAGGGTAAGTACACCTTAATCTCAAACAATTTGTTCAATTCAAACCTTTCTCCATAAACCTTCCTACAAAATTCTACTAATTCAAATGAGATTCAAATCTTTCTCCATATAAACCTTCCTGCAAAATTCTACTAATTCAAATGAGATTCAAACATTTCTCCATATAAACCTGTCTCAAAAATTGTACTAATTCAAATGAGATTCAAACATTTCTCCATAAACCTGTCTCCATAATTCTACTAATTCAAATGAGATTCAAATCTTTCTCCATATAAACCTTCCTGCAAAATTCTACTAATTCAAATGAGATTCAAATCTTTCTCCATATAAACCTTCCTGCAAAATTCTACTAATTCAAATGAGATTCAAACATTTCTCCATATAAACCTGTCTCCAAAATTGTACTAATTCAAATGAGATTCAATTCAATTGAATTGAATTGAATTCAAACATTTCTCCATAAACCTGTCTCCATAATTCTACTAATTCAAATGAGATTCAAATCTTTCTACATATAAACCTTCCTGCAAAATTCTACTAATTCAAATGAGATTCAAACATTTCTCCATATAAACCTGTCTTCAAAATTGTACTAATTCAAATGAGATTCAAACATTTCTCCATAAACCTGTCTCCATAATTCTACTAATTCAAATGAGATTCAAATCTTTCTCCATATAAACCTTCCTGCAAAATTCTACTAATTCAAATGAGATTCAAACAGTTCTCCATATAAACCTGTCTCCAAAATTGTACTAATTCAAATGAGATTCAAACATTTCTCCATAAACCTGTCTCCATAATTCTACTAATTCAAATGAGATTCAAATCTTTCTCCATATAAACCTTCCTGCAAAATTCTACTAATTCAAATGAGATTCAAACATTTCTCCATATAAACCTGTCTCCAAAATTGTACTAATTCAAATGAGATTCAAACATTTCTCCATAAACCTGTCTCCATAATTCTACTTATTCAAATGAGATTCAAATCTTTCTCCATATAAACCTTCCTGCAAAATTCTACTAATTCAAATGAGATTCAAACATTTCTCCATATAAACCTGTCTCAAAAATTGTACTAATTCAAATGAGATTCAAACATTTCTCCATAAACCTGTCTCCATAATTCTACTAATTCAAATGAGATTCAATCTTTCTCAAGGACATGAGTGGTCTATAAAACAGAGAACCAATGAAATGTTACAATTTTCTCATATCCCAATCAATGGTTCCATATACATATGGTACATATGTTCTCACTATTGTACAAATCTGGAAATGACATGTAAATTCTCATGTGGATATTGGTAATACACAACCAAACAAACAATGACTAAGAAATTAATATTTGTTCAACAAACTAAGACTTAGAGGGGGTGTTCTCTTGAACTTCATGCTAAGATTAACCAGCATATAACTTTTACCACTCAACGGATTTTCTAATCTAAAAATAAAATTGCTTATTTGCACAATATATAACTAACAAGCACAATAATTTTTATGAAGCATTTTGAGTTCAACTGCCAGCTGGCAGATTAATCTACTATTTTAGGGGCAACTCATTTAAATATGGATAGTACCTGCTACTATTCCATTTATATTTAAATAAGTTGGCCATAAAATAGTATAAATAAGTAAGTTGAACTGTCAGCCATCAGTTGAATGTGGATGCTACCTTATTCTAAATATTCTGGTTCAGGAAAATCATATTTCTGGAAGAAGAATCCAGCTGGTTGAATCGAACATAATTAAATGTTAACATGTGTCATGAAAATGCAGTTAGCCAATGCTTACAAAGAATTTGTGATTCATGGTCTAAAATGCATTTCATAAAGTGAGATGTAATTTCAACTGTGACTGCTAAAAGGAAAAATGATTTGTCCACAAATGATCAATAACACCACAATAAAAGCATTCAACTCTACACTGTGTAGTGTGCACTAGAGTGAAATACTCTATACAGATATTCATTAGTGAAATACTCTAATACAAAAATTCATAAGTGAAATACTCTATTACAGAAATTATTAGTGAAATACTCTAATACAGGAATTCATTAGTGAAATACTCTAAACAGAAATTCATTAGTGAAATACTCTAATACAGAAATTATTAGTGAAATACTCTATTACAGAAATAATTAGTGAAATACTCTAATACGGGAATTCATTAGTGAAATACTCTAAACAGAAATTCATTAGTGAAATACTCTATACAGAAATCCATTAGTGAAATACTCTAAACAGAAATTCATTAGTGAAATACTCTTAACAGAAATTCATTAGTGAAATACTCTAAACAGAAATTCATTAGTGAAATACTCTAATACAGAAATTCATTAGTGAAATACTCTAATACAGAAAGTATTAGTGAAATACTCGTAACAGAAATTCATTAGTGAAATACTCTAATACAGAAAGTATTAGTGAAATACTCTAAACCAGAAATTCATTAGTGAAATACTCTAAACAGAAATCCATTAGTGAAATACTCTAAACAGAAATTCATTAGTGAAATACTCTAATACAGAAATTCATTAGTGAAATACTCTAATACAGAAATTCATTAGTGAAATACTCTAATACAGAAATTCATTAGTGAAATACTCTAAACAGAAATTCATTAGTGAAATACTCTTATACAGAAATCCATTAGTGAAATACTCTAATACAGAAAGTATTAGTGAAATACTCTAAACAGAAATTCATTAGTGAAATACTCTATACAGAAATTCATTAGTGAAATACTCTAATACAGAAATTCATTAGTAAAATACTCTAATACAGAAATTCATAAGTGAATACTCTAAACAGAAATTCATTAGTGAAATACTCTTATACAGAAATCCATTAGTGAAATACTCTAATACAGAAAGTATTAGTGAAATACTCTAATACAGAAATTCATTAGTGAAATACTCTAAACAGAAATTCATTAGTGAAATACTCGTTACAGAAATTCATTAGTGAAATACTTTTATATTGGAATTAATTTCTATTCAGTTAGGGGTAGAGTAATACAGCTGTGTTTATGATAAGACTTATCATTATGACATGTTTAAAACAGCTAAATAAAAGAGATGTTGTTCAAAAGCTTTGGTAACCTCCCTGCATCTTGGGGATATACAGACAATACAGTTCTAGATGCTTCTACCTTTGAAAAATTAAATTACATTCTCCATTTTTAGCATGATTTGTGATAGGACTTTGGTTATTGGTTATTTGTTGTAGGTACCAAGTGGGGAGCACTGACAAAGTATATGATGGCACAGCACTAACTGTGATGGGAGATGTAATATTTGTGTCTATGAACTACAGATTGAATGTGTTTGGATTTCTCAGCACAGGAGATAGTGTAGTCCCAGGTAAAAGATTAATGCTATCTGATATTAGGTAATATAATTACAATAGATTAAACAACATTTCTATTTAGTTTTCAATCATTAAATATAGACAAGTCATTAATGTGCAAAATGTCCCCATCTGCCATTTGTTACAGACCCTGACTGCCAAATGCCAACTGCCGATCACTGTCCACAAAAAGTGTGCGTATATGGTTGATTATTTCAAGCAACAACATTATATGAAATACTTTGTTCTGACTGGCTAGAACATGACACACCTTGCCTATCAATACGTGTATATCAATACACAGTATTGCAATTTTGATTTTCAATTTTCCATGCTTCAAAAAGTTCCAATGGTTCCAGGAAACATGGGTTTGCTTGACCAGAAGCTGGCGCTCCATTGGGTGAAGGAGAACATAGCACTGTTTGGAGGAGATCCAGAAAGGATAACAATATTTGGAGAATCTGCAGGAGCAACCAGTGTTACAACACAGGCCTTTTCCCCACAAAAAGGCCTTTTCCAGTAAGTTATAAATGCTACAACACAGGCTTTTTCCCCACAAAAAGGCCTTTTCCAGTAAGTTATACATGCTACAACACAGGCTTTTTCCCACAAAAAGACCTTTTCCAGTAAGTTATACATGCTACAAAATAGGCATTTTCTCCACAAAAAGGCCTTTTCCAGTAAGTTATACATGCTCGGCTAGCTAGCTACAACACAGGCTTTTTCCCAACAAAAAAGGCCTTTCCAGTAAGTTATACATGCTACAAAATAGGCCTTTTCTCCACAAAATAAGAACCTTTTTCAGTAAGTATTAGTTGAACAAGTTTAAAAAATATATATCAAAATCACCATTTCTAGCATTCCAAAATCACATAAAAAATTGATCTGTATATGGTCCTTAAATCAGGACACTATATCATTGATGTCTCAGAATAAAATGATTAATCCAAATCAGTAAATAACCTCTATATGCATATCTGTTTTCAGGCGTGTAATTGCACAGAGTGGGTCACTCCTTGCATCATGGGCCTTTAACATGGAGGACAATGTACCATCAATTAAGGGTATGGGACAACAACTAGGCTGCAGTAATGAACGTATGGCTGACCTAGTGGAGTGCCTACGTGGAGTAGATGTCACTGAGCTGTATACTGCATGTAAGATTATATATTAAACAGACCATCAAAATGAATGTAATTTAAGGAAGCAGGGGACCATTGGCATCACTTTTGATCTAAAAGTGGGATTTCTTTCAAATTTTCAGGGAATGTTGTGGTCCATGATAACACTTCACTGATGAAATATGACATGACTTTACCGTCTCATTTTTGAGATCTGTGACCTTGACCTTTTTGACCCTTTATCTCCATTTTTCAATCAGATTTCGAAACAAACAACAAACAAAAAGGTCAAGGTCACAGATCTCAAAAATGAGACGCTGAAGTCATGTCATATTTCATCAGTGAAGTGTTATCATGGACCACAACATTCCCTGAAAATTTGAAAGAAATCCCACTTTTAGATCAAAAGTGATGCCAATGGTCCCCTGCTTCCTTAATAGAATGTAATTAGAAAAATTACACTATTCTTGATCAAATATTACAGATGTGTTAAAAGACCTAAGCAATTGTATCTGCTATTATAACCACATGAATGCATGAAGACAGAAAAGGCTGTCATGTATCTTTATCACAATTTGTCTAGTTAATGAAAAGTATATGTTTGGGGAATGGCTAGGTTGGAAATACTTTTATTTACATCTTGTGCTTTATTCAGCTCTGAATTATATGGAAACTGCCATGGGTGCAAGATGGTCCCCTGTGGTGGATGGGGAGTTCATCACAGAGCCCCCTGGGAAACTGGATGAAGCCACAGGGCCAGGGTATGAGATGTTGACCAGTGTGGACCTTATGATGGGAATCAACAGTCATGAAGGATATATGATTTTAGGGACAGATCCCAGAATCTCCTCTGGTAACCAATCAAGTGCTGTAGCATTCGTGGAGGAGCTGATGCAGACAATGAGTAACTATTACGGGGGAGATTTATCAAATGATATGTATGATGCCATCTGGTACACTTACTTTGGACTAAAGGCCATAGATGATATGAGTGCAGATGAACTTTTTGAGAAAGTGGTTCATTTAGGAACAGATGAAGCGTTTCTGCTTCCACTTGACCATTTAACACATGCCTATGGTCAGAATTGCTTCCTGTACCACTTGACCCATGCTCCTAGCTATAAAGCAGGGACTGTGCCATCCTGGATGACTGGTGCTGACCATGCAGATGACTTGCAGTATCTGTTCTTCTCCCCTATCATGCAAGATCTGTCTCCATTTATCCCAAAAGGCACTGAACTAGAGAAGAATATCTCGGAAAATATGATCACCTACTGGACAAACTTTGCAAAGACAGGGTAAGTATTTAGAAAGACGCTGAGAGTTCAAATCAGTTTAAATTTTTTAAAGAACTAGAAAGTTCAATATTGATATTTTGATAAATAACCTACGACTGGAAATAAAGACTTTTAAAATATTGATCAGGAAATGTCCCACTAATTTTCCTCTCAATTTATTTAAGTGATTTCTCTTGTCTCATTGCAGAGATCCCAATGAGCCAGAAAGCCCAATTTTGTCAACATATTGGCCAGCAAGTACCAGCGAGTCCAGTCACTATATAGAATTTGGAGACACCATCCAAGCCAAAGATGGCTCTATTAAACGAGAACGTTCAGAATTCTGGTTTGATTATATTGGTAAACTGCTGACCAATGCACAATGTTCTCTTAATTCAGTTGAGAATGGAGACAAGGAAGAGGAATGTGTGAAACCTGGTACAACTAATGGTGGAATTGCAGTTGAAGCTGTAAAGGCTTTGTTACTAGGAATGGCGTTCCTTTGTATAGTTTGGTACTAGATATGACATACCTCAGTATACTTCAAGAATCTAGAATCCTATGTAATATTGTGAGTCAAATAAGTGATACTACTACGGTAAAACCTGTGTATAGTGAACACTTTTTTGCCAAGAAAAAATCAACACTGTTGGCAGGTGTTCACTACAGCCATGATTTGATATCACAGCATTTTTCTACCTACCCATGACACTCTAACGGTAAATTTTTGTTTTGTTGTAGTGTCATATCAACTGACTTATTTTAGACTGACTGTCATCTGAATGGTTCAACCTTTTATTGTCAAAATTTAATCTCTTTATAATTCTTTTTTGTGTTATAATAATTCTAAATGTGAAATCCTTGACACATATGAATATATAAGTGCAAATGCCAAAGGGAAGAGTGACTAAAAACTTTAAAGAAACCCAACAAGAAAAGCAAACTGTAAGTGTAAATCTGTCATAAGAAAAGTAGACCCTATATATCCCAAAACCATGATCTAACCTGAAAAGAAACAGTATCTAACATCCCCCTCCCCCTCCACTCGAGAACCAATATCACAATCCAGGACCAGAACACCAAGGGACATTTCATTCATACTGAAGTCATTACAATACATGTTGAAGAAAAATTGAAAAAATTGATAGCCAATACTCAGAACATTAAAAATATTGATTTTGATGTTCAGCAAATGTAAGGTGATTCCATCCTCTTTATAGTATAGTTTCTAAATCCCCGGGTAGTATCGCAAAATCTCGCGAAATCCCGTTTTCGAAAATCTCGGGCCAGAAAATCTCGGACGCCATTACTTTTCATATACACGCAAAACAATTTCTCCATCATAATCACAAATACGCAAATATCTACGATGAATCGGCAGGAAAATTTCCTGTCTTGGAAAGTTGAAGATCTCAAGCGTTGGTTGGGCGAGCGGAAAGTGACGTGTAGTGGATCCAACAAGCCTGAGTTGGTGAGGATTGCCGAGGCAGTTTCCAAGCTGGATCTTCCTCAAAATCCAGATCTGCAAAGTGCAGTTCCTGGAAACAGATCGTCAATAAGTCAGGATGCAAAGAAAGGTCACGTGACAAGCATTCCAAGTGTATTTTGTACCTCTTCTTGCAATATAGAAATCATCTATCGCCCTGATATTCCAAGATATGATTGATATCAAAGCCTTTTTCATCTGTTCATGCGATATATGTCGGCTGTAGCCATGTCTTAACGATCTATAATAGTTTTGTAAAGCTATTTTGATTTTCGGAAAAAAACGAAAAAACTAGTCGTACTTCATCCAGTTCGTTATGATTATTGCCTTGTTGCTTTGAGTCCACATTAAGATTTTCTAATACACTGTTACGTACTTTATAACCAGAATAAGTCTGTTTTTAATCTGATCCCTTGAATAAGTAATACTAATCGATTTTATGAGTCGAATTTTATTTCTCCATTTATTTCAATGGCGCCATATTGGATTGTGGCCCGATGTGATGCAAGCGCATTCTATCGGTCAAGTGAAGCACTAAACCCCCGGGGATTTAGAAACTATACTATTGTACATTATTTTTTACCAATGCTTTTAATTCATGAGACAAATTATGGTTTACCCAGTGTCATGTTGTGTTAAACTTTCAAGCACTTAAAAATTTTAGATTAATGATTTTAAATGTGGTCAATTATATACCTATGTAGGTGTCACGACCACGAATATGTAAAAATGTTATTATGTTTTAATGAAATAAATAAATAAAAAAAACATCAAAACTAGTCTCATAAAAGATTAGAAGAGTATTAGAAGAGTATTCAGTCTCAAAAGATGTGGGATACATAAAATCCAGTCTCGAAGTCCATAGGCAATTCAAAGTGTCAACATCTGTCAACAACAATTTTTGAGTCAGTTAAAAGGACTTTATTGAGTTCATTAATGGACATGATAGAGTCGGTTAACTGGTTAAGGGTGATCATTTTAATTTTAATCCAATCTGTTTTTCAAAATGATGGGGATGAGAAAAAGATTTAAGTGGGACTTAGCAGATCAAGGTATTTAGTTAATCAGATTATCTCGAAAACAATCAAAGTTAGACGAATATCCTGTCTTAAAAATAAAAAAGCTTATTAAGAATTATAATTAGTCACACATGTTTCAACAGAATTGGAGATCAGGATCTCAAATTGACCTTTTGATTATTATTTGGCAGCTAATATCAATATAAACTGCTTTACTCTAATAAGGTAGTTGCAGAAAATCCGCGAGAAATCTTATATCTGATTCAATGTTCACTAGAGCCAGGATAATTCAACTGATTTTGCCAAGATTTAATGTTCACTGTTCACAGTAGGAAGGTGTTCACTATAGGATTGTACTTTAATATGGGAGTCTTTTTATTGGCCTCGATGGACACTAGCATTTTCTTTGATGTTGTAATCTATTCAAAATGTTTAAGTGAACACAGTAAATCATCAAAAAAGAATGTCAGTGAACTGACAAGCATGCAACTAAAAATACATAGTCAGATATCCTGAACATTGGCTCCCACCTGAATCAGACATGAAAACAGTGGCTAGTGTAATAATAGAACCTACACTTGGAATATCCTTCTACTGCTGGGATTCATGGTGCCTGATTTCATGTCTCATGTGGTTGTTTAATACCTTATCAAATGGAAAAGTAGGATACATTTTGGAAAAAGGCGGACAAAGTAATCTAGTCATGGAACCAGACCAGTTACCTACAGTCACTGTAACACCTAAGAAAGAAAAAACATTTGAGCAAAAAATAATCCTCAAAAAAGAAAAAAGTAGAAACAAGGCAATAACATGACAAAATGTCCCCGCCTAGTTGCTCACAATATTATGAGTACAATATTAAGAGTTAAATCTTAGTCAGATTTGAATCTCTAAGAACTTGTCGATGATTCTTAAAAAATAAAGTGCCCTTAAGAAAAAAGCCATGGTAGCCATGATATTCCATGGTGCGTCCATGGTTTTCCATGGAAATTCATGGTTTTTCATGGTATTTTCCATGTAATTTCATGGACGTCCATGGTAATCTTCCATGGATATTTACCATGATCTTCCATGGTAATGAGTGTTTTGGTAATTGGTTTTTCATGGAATACCATGTTTTTACCATGATACTAAGTGACTTGGAGTTGTAAAATCAACAATTTTGGCAGTTTTTGTATTTACCAAAATCTTCCAAATTGAATCAATGTTTAAATGAATGAATCCAAGCTGGGTTGAGACTAATCATAGAGAGATGGATATGATGTCCCCGTCAATTTTTTGAGAAAGTCAACCCCCTTGGCAAAAGCTGGCTACGGGCCTGAAATACAACCATGCACCTTATTTTCATAATCTAGATATATGTTTAGTTCTATGATAAAGATATTTTCATAATCTAGACATGTTTACTTGGAGTTTTTAATCCTATTTGGTTTTATTTGATCAACAATGAGTTTTAGACTTGCACTATTAATTTTAACACTAATTTGAGAGTTGAGAAACCTAATTAACATAGAACAATGACAACCAAATATTTAAAAATTATGCAAATGATTATGACTTCTTTTTAAATAGATTACATAATTATAATAACCTTAGTACATAGACAAATAGATTTTTGATCACTTAGGCATTACATTTCAGTTTGCAGTCATAGGCTTGTGTTTAATCCCCCACCTTAATTTCATGTCAAAATTCTAAAAAGTATATGGATTTTTCAGACAATGTGCTCATAAAGGTTAAATGAGACTTCATTTGGAAAAGTCCAAACAAATAGTCATGGAAAACCATGGATTTTCCAAAAGATCAAAAGAATAACCATGGAAAACCATGGCTTTTGATTGCACTTTCCAAAACATCAAAGAAATATCCATGGAAAAGCATGGCTTTTGATTGCACTTTCCAAAACATCAAAGAAATAACCATGGAAAAGCATGGCTTTCGATTGCAATCAACCGACTTCCATGGCTTTTGATTGTAGTTTCCTCAACTTCAAAGAAAGAAACCATGGTTTTTCTTGCATTCTAAAATGTAAGACATGTAATTTAAGGAAAAGAGTTATTTATTTTTGAAACTATTTAATTTTAATTTTCATAACTGAATATTAAAGAAACAATAAGAAAACAAAACAGAGGTAGGGCTAGTTTGACTTAATCTTTCCAAAAGACCACAAGTGTTTGGCCTAAAAAATAAGGAATCTCCACTGCGTGAAATATGGGATTCCAACTCTTGACACGTCTAGAAACTGGTCTTTACACGCCGGGTTTCTAGACGTGCCAATTATTTACACCTCTTGACACGCGATGAATTCAACTCTTTACACCTCTTTGCACTTCTTGGCACACGCAGTGCAAAGACGTGTAAAGACCATGTCAAAAAGTCTTTACACGCCCTGTGACAATTAATGGAATCTCTTGACACGCTCTTGGCACACTGAACAACATAATTATGTGTAAATAAACAACTAACCTAATTACCAATAGCAATACATACAGTATTTTAACGATTGCAAGTATTTT